GATCTCGGCTCACTGCAACCTCCGCCTCCTGGGTTCAGGCAATTCTCCTGCCTCAGCCTCCTGAGTAGCTGGGATTACAGGCACGCGCCACCATGCCCGGCTAATGTTTTGTATTTTTAGTAGAGACGGGGTTTCACCATGTTGACCAGGATGGTCTCGATCTCTTGACCTCGTGATCCACCCGCCTCGGCCTCCCAAAGTGCTGGGATTACAGGCTTGAGCCACCGCGCCCGGCTCATTCTTTAAAAGTGTACAAATTCAGTGGCTTCTAGTATATTCAGGGATCTTAAACCATCCTCACCATTAATTTTTAAATGTTTTCATGACCCCAACAAGAAACTTTTAGCAGTTTATCCCCCCAGATATGGCTCAAAGAAAGCACTACCCTATTTCATATCTCTATATGACTTTTAGGTGCCTTTCATTTTTGCCTATTGAGACATTTCACAGAAATGGAGTTATACCATATGTGATCTTTTATGACTGGCTTCTCTTAGTGCAATGTTTTCAAGGCTCAGTTGTGTTGTAGCATATATCAGTACTTCATTTGTTTCTATGGCTGAATAATATTCCATTATGTGCTATGCCACATTTTATTTCTCCATTCACCAGGCGATAGACATGTGGATTGTTTGTTTCCACTTTTTGACTGCTACGAATAGTGCTGCTATGAACATCTGTGTCCAAGTTTTTTTTTTTTTTTTTTTAAATTTATTTTTTTTTTTTAAGATGGGGTTTCACCATGTTGGTCAGGCTGGTCATGAACTCCCGACCTCAGGTGATCCACCCACCTTGGCCTCCAAAGTGCTTGGATTACAGTCGTGAGCCACCACGCCCGGCCCAAGTTTTTTATCTTTGTAATTGTTTTTGATGGAATTGCTGGGCCATATGGTAACTAAGCTTAACCAGTTTAGGAACCGACAGATTGTTTTCCAAAGTGATGGCACCATTTACAAATCCTACCAACCGTGTACGAAGGCTCCAATTTCTCCATATTCTCACCAGTACTTGGTATTATCAGTCCTTTTCATTACGGCCATCAGATTGGGTATGCGTCCTACCCCACTGTGGTTTTGACTTGCATTTCCCTAATGACTAACGACATCAAAGATCTTTTCATGTACTTATTGGCTATTTGTGTATGTTCTTTGAAAAAATGTTCAGACTCTTTTCCCATTTTAAATTGAGTTTTTTTTTTTTTTTAAATTGAGCCTTAAAAGTTATGTTTATGTTTTAGATACAAGTTCCTTGTGAGATATATGATTTGTAAATGATTTCTCCCTGGTTGCCTTTTCACTGTCCCAATGATATCCTTGGAAACACAAAAATTATTAATTTTGACAAAGTGTGTTTTGTTTTGTTTTTCTTTGGTTGTCTCTGCTTTTGGTGTCAGATCTAAGAACAAACCACCTAATCTAAGATCATGAAAATTTATGTTTTATGAATTTTAGTTTTGGTTCTTACATTTAGGTGTCTGAAACATTTTTAAAGTTTTACTTATTTTTTTATTAGAGTAAAATACACATAAAATAAATTTACTATCTTACGATTTACATTTTAAGTGTACAATTCAGTAGTGTTGATTGCATTCATATTCTGGTGCCACCATTGCCACCGTCCATCTCCAGAAAGGTTTTGCCTTCCCAAAAGGAAGCTGTATCCATTAACAACAATCCCAGTTTCTCCCTGCCTTCAGCCCTGACAATCAGTATTCGACTTTTTGTCTCTATGAATTTGATTACCTCTTACAAGTGGAATCCGACAGTCTTTGTCTTTTTCTGATTGGCCAATTTCATTTAGCATAATGCCCCCAAGGTTCATGCATGTTGTAGCATGTGTCATGATTCCTTTCTTTTAAGGCCAAATAATATCCCATTACATGTATATATTACTTTTTAAAAAATAATAGAGACAAGGTCTCATTATGTTGCCAAGGTTGGTCTTGAACTCCTGGGCTCAAGCAATCCTCCTGTCTCAGCCTCCCAAAGTGCTGGGATTACAGGCATGAACTACTGCACCCAGCCTATATATTACATTTTATTTAGGTGTTTGATCCATTTTGATTTAAGTGTCATTTATGGTATGAGGTAGGAGTCCAACTTCCTTGTTTTCATTGTGGATATCCAGTTGTCTCAGCACCATTTGTGGCCAGTTTATTCTTAGCACAGAGAAGTAATTGAAATTTAAAAAATGTCATTATTTCAAACTCAAATTTCTGGGGAAAACCATTTTAAAGACTGTTTCAAAAGATACAGAACACATTCAGGATACTTTGCATATAGGTGACTCTGTATTTCAAGACAAATATAACAAACAACATGTGACATTGTTGTTTCTTCCTTGTTCCCTATAATTTTATTATTTTCCTTTTTTTTTTTTCTCTTTCTTCCTTTTTCTTTTTTTTTTCTAGAGACAATGTCTCACTATGTTGCCCAGGCTGGTCTTGAACTCCTTAGCTCAAGCCATCCTCCTGCCTTAACCTCCCAAAGTGCTGCAATCACAGTCATGAGTCACTGCACCCAGCATAGAATTTTCTTTTTCTTTTTACTTTTGAAAAGTAGACTATCACTGCTTTCTACTTTAAGGGTATTGTGAAGCTAAATAATACAACTCATAACTTAGAAGAATTCCATATTTGCATTACTATCAATATTTAAGTATATGTTTATATTTAAATATAATAGTCATAATAAAGCATGCATACAGACATATACACTGGAAGAAAAAGAATCATCAAAATTACTTCTGCTCTCTCTCTGGTGAGAATGTCTGTCACAAAGAAGCAACATGTACTTGACTACCAATAGGTGGCGCTAAACATTTAGTCAGGATTCATTCATTTTTATGTTGCCCGCAATATGCATAACTACAGCCTCCCTTGGAAAAGAGAAGCAACATCTACAAAATATTCAAAATGATCAGGAGGAAATGGGCTCTCTTCCCATCCCAATAAAGTCATGTTCAAAACAGCAATAAATGAAGGTAGCTTTCAATTCAACTGAGCAACCGGGACATGTTTACAGATTGGAGTTGCTCCAACATAAGAAAAGGCCTCCTTACTACTTTTCAGGTGGCCCTTGAGGTCAAGGACACAATCAGACCCTCTTGGATCCACCAAGAAGTATCTGGGTAAACTGGAGGGAGTTTTGTTATTTCTTTAAGTCTTGAGAAGAAAAAAAATGCAATTACAGCAGAGAAACATACAACTGACTAGAGACAGATATTTAAGAACCAACCAAAAACACATGCATGATAGCAGGACAATTATTTTTATATGTATTCTCTTTTTCTTTTTTCTTTCTTCCTGTTTCTTCTTCTTCTCCTTCTCCTTCTCCTTCTCCTTCTCCTTCTTCTTCTTCTTCTTCTTCTTTTTTTGTAGAGACGAGGTTTCTCCATGTTGGTCAGGATGGTCCTGAACTCCTAACCTCAGGTGACCTGCCCACCTTGGCCTCCCAAGGTGCTGGGATTACAGATGTGAGCCACCACCCGGCTTTTGTTCTTCTTGTTCTTCTTTTTTTTTTTTTTTTTGAGAAAAGTTCTCACTCTGTCAATGAGGCTGAAGTGCAGTGGCACCGTCATGGCTCACTCTAGCCTTGACCTCCCTGGTTCAAGCCGTCCTCCCACCTCGGTCTCCCAGAGTGCTGGAATTACAGGAATGAGCCACTGCGCCCAGCCTGTTTATATTTCCTGTGTTATTACAATAGTTACCAGTTTCCATCACTGGTAAATTTAAAACTATATACATATATATATGTCTTTGTATAGATATACACTCATATATATCCCATTTATTGCTGTTACATTAATACTGAAAAATGAATAATTTAAAAACCGATCTTTTACATTGAACATCTATATATCGGCCGGGTGCGGTGGCTCACGCCTATAATCCCAGCACTTTGGGAGGCCGAGGCAGGTGGATCACGAGGTCAAGAGATGGAGACCATCCTGGTCAACATGGTGAAACCCGTCTCTACTAAAAATACAAAACATTAGCTGGGCATAGTGGCGCGTGCCTGTAATCCCAGCTACTTGGGAGGTTGAGGCAGGAGAATTGCCTGAACCCAGGAGGCGGAGGTTGCGCTGAGCCGAGATCACACCATTGCACTCCAGCCTGGGTAACAAGAGTGAAACTCTGTCTCAAAAAAAAAAAACAACTATATATCACAACATTACTACATATTAAATAGCACAGTGTTTTGGGTCAACTTGATTTTTATTTATGGTGCCTTATACCATTGAAGGATTGCATTTAAACAAGGAAGCCTCATGCTATCATTTACTATTCCCTAAGAAACACAAGTCATACGCAGGATAAAGCTGCAAAACAAATGACCCTTCACCTCCAACTCATCACAAGAATATGCGGAACTCTTCTTT